CGATGAGCTTTGTAAAAATCGATGCGTTTCAGAAAGGCGGGGCATAGAGGAGCAACAATAATGTACATTATATGGTAAATAATGTGTTTTTTGAACCTTAAACCACATAAACACATTGCATTACACCAAATACACAACATAATGTTCTTTTTAGCAACGTCGTATGACCCCTTTAAGTTTTATTATAATCTAATTTTGGCTTGTACACAGTTCTTAAAAATGTAATCTTTGTCTGTGTTGGTTTCATACATTTTTTTTAAAGTTTTTAAGTTTTCTTGCATTTATTTGACCTGAACTAAATGTAACTTTTCATAAAATGGTTTAAATGTGTGATTTTTTTAAATGTAATAGTTGGGACACACAGTCCTGTCTAATTTTTATTTGTAAAATATAGATATAAAAAATGCCTACCTACATTTTTTACTTTATGCTTGACTTAATGCTTTTTATATTCATTATAAAAGAGTATTTTTAATGTATCTGTGAGCAAGTTAATACATTATATTAATAGCAACACCACTAGTATATATATATAGAGAGAGAGAGAGAGAGAGAGAGAGAATGTGTTGTTCAGTTTACAAAAAAAAAATGCATCCACATTTTCCTATTTATTTTTATTTATTTTTTTCTAAAATTTTAGACATAAAAGGAAGATTTGAGATGGGTCTGTAATTTGCCAGTTCACTAGGATCTAGTTGTGGTTTCTTAATAAGAGGCTTAATAAGATATTAGAAGATGAGTTAGAACTGAATTGCAAGATTTTGCAAAAAAAATATTTGTAATAAGATTTCATCAAAAACAAAACATATAGGTACATTACTATAGGTACAGCTTTCATTTAATTTCTTTTCATTTTCATTTAAATGTTTAGTAGCAGTCTAGCCATCCATAGTTCAACAGAAACCGATTCACTCGTCTTGAGGTGAAATTATACTCCGATTGCCTTGAACCTTCTGAGAAATACAGATAACCTAAAAAAGGAGAAAAAAATTATAATTTCATTCAAGGCAAGAGCATTAAATGAATAATGAATGACTGAATAGTTAGTGTTTTTGTTTTATAGCGTTTAAGCTCACCATCATTTTCAAAAGCAGCATCCACCCGTGACCCAATGCCAGGGAAATTACGTCGAATAGTTTTAGGAAAGTCTCTGTCCATCTGAGCTGTTCTTTCATTTAAGCTACACCATTGTTAAAATTATGTTAGTTTTGATGTTATTTTGAAAAATCAACATAATATTAAGTGGAGACAATGTGATGTATAAAGGTTCATTTAAGCTACTCAGTCATAGTTTTTTCTTACCTCCAGTATTTGGTTCCAACAAAAAACAAAGTGCGGTTGGTTGACTTTACATATACAGCTGCATCAATCTTTCTCACGTATTTGGGAAACCCGAATTTATATATGGGTTTGGGATATCCAGGCAAAGTAGTGTTGCCCTTTACTGCCCAGTACTGCTGACCTGTATGTGGAAGACCACACAACTACATTTACTGAAGCCTTGTTATACACCACTCAAAGACTCTTTAGGAAATATGGCTTTACCTTTGAAGAGGAAGCTAATGTCTCTGCCTCTGAACTCATAAGCAGCATGAACAGAGTCAATGGTTGGCCAGGTAAATTTTATTTCATGCATTGAAAGTCCACTGTAGAAGCCCTTCTTCCAGTAATACCTGATGCAAATGAAGAATTAAATATTAATATATTAAAATATTTTAAAATCATATATTTTTTTACACACAAAACACACAAACACATATAGTGTATATTTATATTTAAAAAATTATATATATATAT